AAAGTTCGAGTTACTATCAGACACGAAGAACCCATCCCTCCTGTCCGAGCTGAAGCAGAGGGAGACAATCAAGAGAATGAAGAAATTGATGACCAGCAACAAGCTGAAGATGACCAAGACATTGAGGTCCGAGTTGATGATGAGATCCGGGATGAGAATGATGAATCGGGTTCTCAAGATGAAGAACAGTCGAGATATCCAACTCGAGAAAGAAGACTCTCTACAAGATACCCATCTAATGAATACACTGTTGTTGCTGAAGACGGTGAGCCTCAGAGTTATGATGAGGCTGTGACGAGCTCAGAGAAAGAAGAATGAAAAAAGGCAATGCAAGACGATATGAAGTCTCTGCACAAGAATCAGACTTATGAGCTGACCGAGTTGCCAGAAGGAAGACGAGCTCTGAAAAATAAATGGGTCTACAAGATTAAGAATGAAGAGAACGGGCAAAAACCGAGATACAAAAGCCTGAATTGTAGTGAAGACTGCAATCAGAAGAAAGGAGTAGACTTTGAGGAGATTTTTTCTCCTGTGGTGAAAATGACCTCGGTCCGAACCGTGTTAGCCATGGCGGCTTCGATGGACCTCGAGATAGAACAAATGGATGTGAAGATGGCATTTCTTCACGGTGATTTAGAAGAAGAAATATATATGGAGCAACCTGAAGGATTCCAAGCTCCAGACCAAGAAGACTTGGTATGTCGATTGAAGAAGAGTCTCTATGGCTTGAAGCAAGCACCTCGGCAGTGGTACAAGAAGTTTGAATCATTCATGACTGTTGTAAGTTTGAAAAGACAGAAGCTGACCACTGCGTATTTATAAAGAGGTATGAGGCCGAAGATTTTCTGATTTTGTTGTTATATGTTGACGACATGCTTATTGTAGGGAAAGACAAATCGAGGATAGCCGCCCTAAAAAAGGCGTTGAGCTCGTCCTTCGCAATGAAGGACCTCGTCCCTGCAAAGCAGATTCTCGGAATCAAGATCATCCGAGATAGACAGAAGAAGCTATTGTGGCTGAGTCAAGAGAAATATATTGAGAAGATTTTGAAGAGATTTAGCATGGACAAAGCCAAAACAGTGAGCACCCCCCTTGCCGGACACATAAAGCTGAACCAGAAGCAATGTCTGAGATCTGATGAAGACAAAGATGAGATGATGAAGGTCCCTTACCAATCCGCCGTCGGAAGCTTGATGTATGCAATGGTTTGCACTAGACCCGACTCGGCGTATGCTGTTGGAATGGTAAGCCGGTATTTGTCAAACCCCGGCAAAGAACACTGGGAAGCAGTGAAGTGGATCTTCAAGTACCTCCGAGGTACGACCAATTTATGCCTCCGATTTGGAGAAGGCAAAGCCGAGTTGCAAGGCTACTTGGATTCTGATTTAGGGGGAGACACCGACTCGAGGAAATCGACGACGGGATATTTGATGAGATTTGTCGGAAGAGTTGTCTCTTGGCAATCAAGACTTCAGAATTGTGTTGCACTATCGACAACTAAGGCTGAGTACATTGTCTCTACTGAAGCAAGCAAAGAAATGTTGTGGATGAAGAAGTTCCTCATGGAACTCGGCCATAATCAAGACAAGTACGAGCTGGGTTGTGACAATCAAAGCGCAATCCATCTTGCGAAGAATTCAACCTATCACTCCCGCACTAAGAATATTGATGTGAGGTATCACTAGATCCGGGATGTGGTGGAAGGTGGAGAGCTCAAACTCGTCAAGGTGCACACTGACCAAAATTGGTCCGACATGATGACAAAGCCGGTTCCAACAAGGAAATTTGAAGACTGCTGTGAAGGAGCCGGGTTGATGCTGAAGCCGACGCATTGAAGTCGGAGGGGGAGACTTGGTTGGGATTCCTCCTTCAATGCTAAGCCCAAGCCCATTGAGGGGTTTCCTAAAAACCCTAACCCTAGATCTCACCTCCTCTATATATTCATTAGTTGTGGGTGGAGGCTAGGTTAAGTGAATGAGAGAGAAAAATTTGAGAGATAATTATTTGATTGTTTGAGCAAAGCTTTATGCTTTGCATTTGAGAGATCTCTAGAGAGAGTTTGAGTGAAACATTTCTAGGGAGATTTGATTATCACCATTGTTGGAGAGGTTGAGTTAACCACCACATTGGTGATTCTGATTATTTGTAACCATTATTTTCATAGTGAATTTTTGATCTGGACTAGGTCCCGTGAGTTTTTACTTCTTCATTGAAGAAGGTTTTCCCACGTTAAATCTGGTTGTGTTCTTCTTCTCTCTCTCTTTTTTTCGTTTTTGATTTTTTCGCTGCGTTGCCCGACCTGGTGAAATTCAGGCCGAGGTATTGCTGAGATCTGAGATCGAGGATCTCATTGACAGACTTCCGCAAAGGCCCCTGAGCCGAGCTTGAGGGAACCGATTTTTTCCCAACACTTCTTCCTCCCTTCAGCCTTCATTTTTTCTCTTCTCCCAACTTTTCATTCCTTCACTGTCGCTCCATTGTTTTCTCGGTATTCTCTCTCCTCTTCCATTCATTTTCATTTTTTTATTTGCTTTCCTTAAAACCACCTAAAAACACTACTTGGAAAAAAACGAACAAAAGAATCTGAAGAAGCTGTTGAATTTCCTCTGGTATGTGGACTTGGTGGAGTGTGGAAGTGGAAGGTTGGGTGAGAGAGGAGAGAAAATGTAACGGAATTGAAAAACCATGTTGAAAGGTGATAGGGCATCTGATCCCTAGTATGTTCTTTTGCTGGTTAAATTGAAGCATTGTGTGCTGCTGTTTGTATGAATGATTTCGATTTATACAGTGTTTTCAGCAGGCGACCGTGGATAGAAAAGGGGCTGGCAGGGGACGGCGGCTGCGGGGTGTTTTGAATAATAGGTTAGGGTTACAATGCTTGGGAAGAGGGGGGGTTTTTTGGAAAACAAAAGATTTTTTTAAGGGCACAATAGTAATGTTATTCTTTAAAAGTGTTTTTTTATTTTAACATCCAAATGATATTTTTACTCAAAAGTACTTTTAAATATTGCATCCAAACACAAAATAACTTTAGCTAGGAGATACGTTAAATATGAGGAATATTCATTGTCACTCTAGGAATATTCCATCCTCATGGACTCACAGTTTTTACCTCATACCTCAACCATATAAAGGCATTTTGAGCATTTTAATGTCATTTTTAAAAAAAAAATTAAAATAATTCAAAACCAAAAAAGTTATCAAAATAAGGTGTTAGTGGGTGCGTGTTTCGGCATTGGTTGAACCAACGACTATCAAGTGTGATCAATCTCTGTATACGGTTTAACCGTGGCTAAATCATCATGTATTCATCTCATATTCTCATGCATAACTGTTTAGATTAGCCTAACAAATAACTCACCTCCCCTTAACGAAACTTAATCACAATTTGCACAACTAGGCAGCCATTGATTCTACTAATGTCTACACATGCACAAGTTCCTTGCACGACTTGAATGCATACCTACTCAATACATGCTTTACCGTATTATTTTGATTAATTTTTTCAGTTTTGAATCATTTAGATATATTTTTTTTAAAAAAAAATGACATTGAAGTGGATACAAATCTCTTCCATGAGATTTGAAAGAGTTTTTTTCACGTATAAAATGTTGGAAATTTAAATATGAAAATACTAGTTTTTCCTACTTTTGGGTTTCCTCTGACCAACTAATAACTGATAACAAAACTAACGATTTGTTTATAACAAATATTTGACGAGGTTGGTTGGTAGGGTTAGGGTTTATGTCTAACCCATGTTCTCCTTATTGTAATTTATTGCTTAAGCCATGGCTTACATTAGTTAAAATGTGGTGTCAAACTCATTATTGTAATTTATTGCTTAAGCCAATAATAGAGAGTTCTCGTGCATTCAAGTAACCACGTGGCACTAGCTATAACAATTCCAAATGCACCCCTTGCACAAGCACTTTCAGCACCAAAGGAGATACAGCTCGCAAAAGAGCTTTTATCTTATTATTATAAAAATTATTTGGGTGCTTTTTTTTGTTTCTTTTTTGAATAAATTACAGTTATCTTTCACTGGAAGCAATCTTATTTGAGCCGGAAACATTTACGTTATGATGAGCCTAACTCTTTCAAAGGAGATTTTTCACATTCACATTCACAATGACTTAAACCTAAAATCTTACTAAAGCGAAATCAAATATATACCATTTGAATCAACATCATTTAAATAAATGTCTTCTATTGGGTGGTTATAGATGTCTTCTTTTACCTTCATTTCATAACAATAAAAACCCTAATAAATTAACGGACACTAGATGAGCTAGCTAATGGAGATACCATCCTTTTGATACAATACACCACAATATAAACCCTTAACAAGTGACGACAGGAGCATAACTACTCATCCAATCCCATTGTTAGGGTTTTGCAAGCTAATGGTGAAGTTTGTAGTATCTATAGTACATATTTTAACGAGAATATAAACCCTTATACTAATTTGCTTAAAAGGAGAATATTGATAACATATAAGGAGAATGACGATATAGCTTGTGTGCTTATAAAGTGGAATATCAGTTAATCATAAGAAAATTCTTAACTAAACTAGTTTGGCCAATAGTTAATTGGAGTCAAACCACCCAAATTATATTGTCATCTATCTTGTTTATGTTCATGCCTGGGAAAGATTAATTTTTCTCAATAAGAGCTTTTTTTTCCCACTCTAATTAAGTGAAAAAGGGCACTTAACCATGCTATTATTATAAGAACTTCAGTCATGCATGTCATGATGCTATAACCGTTGGGGTGTCAATGAAATATAATGTTGCTTAATATACAATGTGAAACTCTGAAGTAGAAATCACATCAACCTTTGCACTGACAAAGATCCAACCAAGATATAAAAATACATATTCAAATGCATCAAATCAATTACATCCTAAACACAGTCCCAAACGTTATCTGATAAAAGATTTCTCAAAAAGAATACAAAAGATTACCACTACAGGCAACAATTGACATTCTATCTTCTTCTTGATGATATTGATCAGGGTGCCTAACTGCCTACACTTGGGTAACAGTAAAAGCCTGTATGCCAAGTAAGCTAGATGACATTTATTAATCCTAATTTTTCCTAACCTAACAATTAACGTGAAACATGCAACTTGCCTCACCTTAAGATTTCTCCTCGTCTGATTGAGAACATGGGGGCTCAGAATTAACAAAGAAGTCATCCACTGAAATAAAAAACAAAGGTATCTCTGTTAAATCAAACTTGCACTTAACAGAATTTCCAGGTATATTGCCATTTCAGAAACCAGATTCCACAAAAAGATTCTAACTAAAAAGAAAAAAAAATCATTTTTATTATATATATATATATAGATTAGAGAGAGAGAGAGAGAGCAGGATATTCTTATACCGGTATAAGAATAAGAAGTCTTATACTCAATTTTTATCATATTGATCCATATGTATCCAATGGCTCACATAACTAAAAAATTAGAGCCGTTAGATATAAGTGGGATCAACGGTCAAGATTGAGAGTGTAACTTATACCGGTGTAAAATGATCATAATCCTATATATATATATATATATGCCATATAGGGTTCATTTTGACTGCATTTAGGGTTCGTTTTTTCTGCAGTCGATATAGATAAGTTATTGATAAGTTATCTAAATTGAGCTCAAAACGACGTTATTTTAGGACGGAAATCAAGGTATTTTTGTAATTATAATTTATTTCAGGTTTATAATAATCTTTCTCATTAAAAATTTTTAATTTTTCAACTCAAAACGACGTTGTTTTGGGATTGGGAATGAATGTAGATAACTTATCTACATTTACTGTAGAAACATTAAAGCCATATATATATAACATTACCTATATCCTGTTGATCCGGAGATTCAAGCAAAATGTCCGAATCAGATGGCAGAAATGGTGAACCAGGATAGTTTCCCAGAGCTCCTAGATCTGCAAAAATTCAAGATAAATCAAAAACAAAGCATGAAAAAGTGGACAATGGGTGAACATATAAATTATAATCCTTGACAGTGATCTTTAAAAAGATTGTCCATCATTTACTTGGAAGAGATAGCACTTTTAAGTCATCAATCTTAGAAATTGTTAACGGTGCTGCCAAAATAGTATATGTCAAATGATAACTTAAAAAAACATTTGCATAAAAACACATAGATAGGGAAACAAAGTAACAAACAGACAACCTCAAAGTCTAATTTTACTCAAAATCTGATATTGACAATAAATGCTTCCTGCTTCTTTTTGGAGGAAATCTCACTGCACTTGTAGAAACTTATTACTGTTTCGATTCCAACAGATTCACCTTTTTCTTCTCAAATATATAGATTACTTTGGGCGTCTCAGGGATATAACAGAACCCAAATTCAACATAAGTTGTGCATCTCAAGCAACTTCACTCCCAGATGACATTTGGACTAACACTTAAACTACATATGGAAAAGTTGATCAGAGTCGAATCAGAAACTACCTCCCAAGTTTGGCAAATCTGCTGTTAGATCAGATAGGCTAAAATTCCACTGAATTTGATCCAGAGATCTGGAAATTCCATTGCCGCCATCTGGTGCAAGTTGGAGTCCTACCGAACTTGCCACGTCAGATGTAAATGCTGTGTCAAGAGCAGACGCATCTGTGCCCATTCCTGATATTTCTGATGCAGTGAAGGGGAAATGACCACTTGATGCTACTGATGTCGGACTCACGGGCATTTCTGAGACAGATGACATTGCGCCATTTGGTGGAATAACAGGAGCCATGTCAGCACTGTGGTCCATCACCATACTTCAACAAGGATAAAAGCAGAGCAAATTACTTTAAGAAGAAAGAAAGGAAGAAGATCCTCCATGATCCACCAAATTAACTAATATTTAAGTACAAACAATCCGGCCATAAAATGTGCATAATGCAGAAACACACAAAGGGAGTACAGTTACATGGAAAATTCTTTTACTGGATATTGCATCGTAAATCCACTCCCCACTAAACCCCGACTATCAAGGTAAGGGTGACAGCAACCCTTGTACGCAGCCTTACCCTTGCATATTTGCAAAGAGACTGCTTCTCATTTGAATCCGTGACTTTTCAGTCACAAAGGAGTAGTTTTACCACTGCTCCTGGCTCGCCCTCTATATTGCATATTAAATCATAACACAAATTAAAATGCCCACCTATATGCCCATGGATCATTTCAACAAGCAGTTAGAAACACACTATCAATCACACTACTAAACAGTTCATTGGTGATATCAATAGTTACTTCTTAAACACAAAACATCCATCTACACATTTCAGAAAACTGAAATACAAAAGCTATCTATTCAAGAAAATCTAGAAATGATCTTAATTGCAATATTGGAAATGCATGAATAACATAAAAGAATTATGCATAGTTGGACAGGTTCTCACTCATTCCCAGAATTCATCCGAATGGGATGATAATTGCTCGGTGCAGGGACTCCATTAACCACGTGACAACTTGATATACCACAACCTATGGAATCAATATGAGGTTGACCAGTTGCTGGAATGGGAGGATGCTGTAGCACTGGGTATCCCATAGGTAGGTTGTTGACTGCACTGCAAACAGATGGTGTTAAAGAATAATGGGGAAATAATCAAATAGGATACATTCAGTAGCGCTTCATTAATTCCTTTTCATTTAATAATTTAATCTTATTTGCCTTTTCAATTTTTTTCTATAAGAATTGACAAAGGAAAAGCAAAAAATGAAAAGAAAAAAAAGTTGACAAATCATTACTCAATAGCGCTTCTTTAATTCCTTTTCATTTAACAATTTAAGCTTATTAGACTTTTCAATTTCTTTTATGAGAATTGATGAAAGAAAATCAAAAATTGAAAAAATTAACAAATCGTTGAATTGTGTGATTCATATTGGTCATAACTCATAAGGAATAGCACTAATTGATGCATGCATTGCACGATTGATAGTCACCTCTGATTCATCACATGATACGAATGACTGGTCTGCCCAATACTAGAGCAATTTGCATTGTGAATCGTGCAATTTTAACAATATATTTTAGTACAAAAAAAGGAAAGTTTCCAGTGACATAATCATAAGAACAATCTCATAATAGCACTAATAATTAGCCATTTCTCAAGTATCCAAACTTCTTAACTGTTCAAATATTCAGATAACTTCAAATATTAACATCTGGAGTAATTTCAGGTAACATTGAACATTTTATCGTGATTCCAGAAATGCAGTGGAAATAGTTAAAACCTTCTCTTATTAATAAATATTTCAGTCACTGGAAATATTGAGGTTCTGGAAGTGCAGGGAAAGAACGAGGTAAAGATAATTTGAATTTAAACACACACACTCATATATATACAAATTGATGATAGGGCAAGAATTTACCCGGCATCGGATGGATTCCATTCTGTATTGGAGCCAAAGGAACCTTTGCAGGCATGGGAGACTTCATCAGATGATACTGATACTCAAGTAAATGATTGAACAAAAGTATTTGCTTTTTCAATTTTAGCCTGATATAGTAGGCCCTGAAGAAATCAGCATTCTCTTCTTCCAACTTCTGCCATACTGAACAAAAAAAAATTCAATTAGAAAGCAAAGGGACATGAGGGTGTCCACTTTTAAAGGAAAATATATAAAAATGTAGGTAAGGCCATGTTTATTTAATAGTAATTGCCTCGACTTTAAAATTAAGTTAATTTCCAAGTATTCAACTCAAGAATCAAATAATGGAAAATCATTAATAAGGATCCAACAGTTTTCTGTGAACAAAAAATACAATAGATTATTATTAATTAGAATGCAATATATAAATTGCATGACGGAGACCTTAAGATGCCTACCAAGAGTTGTAAATCCAGGATCTATCTTTGCTCGAGTCAGCAGTGTTTTAACCACTTCATCTTTATTCATATATAACTGCAAGCACCTTTCTATTAAATTCTGGACCTACAAAAAGTTGTTTGAATATTTAATCAAAAAGGCAAAGAAACAGATATAGGAAGGAAGTGGAAAAGTAAAGAATTACAGAAAACTAGTCAAATGTTTAGCAAACAATAGATATCCTTACAAGCTCAATATCCTGACGTGAAACCTTTTTGCTATCATTGCTTGAAGCAGATGCTGAACCTGAGTCTGTAACAGGAGCATCAGTTGTGTGATTGTTTGGTGGTTCACTCTTGGGCTCATGAGAAACTTGAGTTGATGACTGTAATTCTTCTGTGCTCTGCAAATCCATAAAAGGTTTATTTAGCTTAATTATAAAATACGCAAGCAGAAAAAAGTGTTGTGAAGCAAATCTAGAAGATCAGGCAGAGTCTGCATCACGGTGAGAGTAGAAAGTAAGAACATATTCTTTAATATTGAATACAGCAGACTCAAAGCTCTATTTTTTAGCACATTAAATATGTACATTTTTGTTTTCTTAACTAACAATTAATAACAATTAGACAAATTGAAATAAAATGGGCATTTAAGTATTCTTCATAGGAATGGTGAATTTTGTCTCTCAATAACCTCCATTAAGGACAATTCTGTGAAAAGAATTACATCACAACCTTTATTAAAGTAATAGACCTTCGTGCCAAACTTTATCCAGGTAGATTCCTACTACATGACAATTGAATTCAGAGTGATTCTGTCACCAAAACTTATTCATTAGTCATTGCTGGCCACACCGGCGACAGAAAACAAATCATCATGCAAACCTCCATTTCTTCAAAACACAAACCATCATCTCCAAGTACTACTGTAAAATTCATAATGCAACTAAGCATTCTCCTTCTCTCTCATCAATTCAACCCCCTGGTTGGTCCACAAGTGCACATCACATTAGGGTTCTCCACCAAACAACCAAATTTAAAACTTTACACATGCAACCTCCAGCCAAACCAAATGACAACCACCCATTTACAGAAATATTATATAGGAGCAAACTCACTGATAAACTCTACTAACAATGGGTAACAGACAAAATAAGAATGTAGACTCAGTATTTAATTGAAGAATTGCTACTGATAACAGATTGGGTTCAAATTGTTTACCAAATCTTGTTAATTAGAAACTTCACAATTCTTCAACTTTGACAGGTGGGTGAACAAACATATAACAAACCCTAATGATGTTTTCATCTTTGATGTTACTAGTTCAGCTAATCCAAGGAAAATATACATTTATACTGACTGAATTAAGTAGTTTCCTTAGGGTAAATTTGTCCTTTTGCCAGCAAGCAGCACAACATGCATACAAGAAGTTGGATATAACTACATCTCAAAAGGAACAATATCATGTATTTACATTCTTAATATTGTCAACAATATGGCCAGGTGCAGTAGATACAGAAAATTGACCATTGTGATTGTCGATATTGCAAAGTAAGTAACAACATAAAAAGCATATATGGGAGAACCTGCAAGTTCTTCATTTCAGCAGAAAGAAGGATGGCCGCATGTCTTTCGGGAATTTAAGTAATCACTAACTGCTTTTGAATTCAAGATTGTTTCCATGCATGACTATGACACCCTCGAGTCAAAGTTGTTTTCATCTGAAACAAGAAAAATAATGTGAGAATTGTAAACCATACCGCTTCAATAAGTATATCATTCTTTAAGTAAACAATACCATCTATAAAGAAATCCAAATCTGTCTCAAAATACCCTTAAACAAATATAAGAAATAGTATCTTCTAAATCAGAGAGATCTAATATGGTACAGAAAATGTAGTTGCTTATGACATTACAAAAAGGGGTTAAAAAAAAAAGGAGCTCCATTAATTGTACATTGAAAGTTTATCAAAAAGGAAGGTTGACAATTACATTTAAAATAATACTACACTAAAAGTAGATAAAAGCAAGTTAATGATGTAATATAACACCATATTTCCGATAGCTTTTTTTCAGTCATAAACATTCCTTCTGAAAGAATAACTAGATGTTCTACCATGGTTTTTAAGATGAATTTTAAATTTCTTCAGCAATAAGAAGGAAAATTCAAAGACAGTTCCAGTTCTCCACAAGACTAGTCATTTTTCAGAACCGTTCAAGCAACAGAAAAATGGCAGTCAGTGAAACAATGTCTTTCACCAATGAATTCGAATGATAGAACAACAAACAATCTACCATTTCAATCATAAAAAAATAAAGGAACCAGATAAACAGATTTGAAATAAACCAGATCCCATTTGTTAACGAGGAGTTGACAACTGAAGTGGAAGTGAAACTTGATTGATCAAGCAAATAAATCCTTCAAAGGAACAAACTTTTTAAGCTACAAGACAACATAGAACCCCCAATGCCTCGACCCAAAAATCCAAGAACCCGTGAAGCAAAAAGGGTAATGAAGATCTAGCAAGTATATTACCTCACACCCAGTTCCTGAATCTCCAACACAAAAAGAAAATAAAAGAAAGAAGCAAAACACTGTTTATGTCGACGAATTAAGAAAACCCCACCAGCTAGTTCAAGCTAAATTAGCTTGAAAAGGATGCATCAACTTATAGAAAGGTTAAAAGAATGAAAATTTAGGGAAAACTTGACAAGGGTGATAATTGGGTGTTGAAGTTGAAGGAATGTTTGAAGGTTCAAGAGAGAAAATCCTCCATGGAAGTGAATGCTGAATGCATTGAGGTTTAAGGAGATATTTTGCAAAGGGTGGAAAATGATATTTACATTAGGTACACGAGTGAGTGTGACTAATGGGGGGTTATTGAATGAAATTACCAGGGTGAAGGATCTTGAGTTCTAAGCAAAGAGAAAATGAGGGAAAATTATGATGAGAAAAAAAAAAATTAAAAAGGTTTTTAACAAATTAAGGCTCCTCTCTTGAGCTTTGTGGTTTGTATTTTTTTTTTATTTGTGTTCCATATATTCTCACTAGTTTTAATTTGTCGATTACGGGAGTAATGTTAACTAGGGACTTAATCACATTTAAAGCAGTGAAAACACTCCGCCTCGAATCTCGTCGGGTTTATCGACCCTCTCTCTTTGAGGGTTGGGATTAACAATTAGACCTTACATACACATTAACTCATCTGACCTAAAAAATCCTTGGTTGAACCCTGTGATTACGGGTTAGAGGAAGTCACTGCATTTAAAAAAAAAATTACACACGAAAAGATGTTTTTTGATGTGCAAAAAAAAAAAAAAACTCAATGCTACCTAGATCTGAAACTTGAATCGTTTTTCTTCTTCTCTTCCAATCTTCTCTCTCGAACTCATTCCCAATCTCCCTGATATACTGATCTCCTCCATCATGGTGGTAGTTCCTACTATCCTCTTTTGTCTTCTATCACCCTCTCATCTGTCATGCTGGTTCTTCTCTCCCCGTCATTGATTCGTCCCACAGCCACCTCTCCTCACTGTTCTCTGTTGGGTAAGAATCTTCTTTCACATGTTGTTGTAAGTTTGTGAGAGGGACAAGGAGGACATGAGTTTGATGATATAACTTTTCATTAAATCCATTGAAATATGTGTTTTGTATTTTGGTACTTTGATTAGCTTATGTGATATTGACTTGTGGATGTAACTTGTAGAATTATGTTAAGCATATTTTGAATCTTTCGTGATTGGTGGTTTGATTTTCTTTGAATCTTTCATATAGGATATATATTTATATTTTTTTAATATATAAATTCAGGTCAGCGAAGGGATCCCATGACCCCCGATTGAACCTGTGACCCTGATTTCGACTGAGTTGATAGCCTGACCAAGTTTTTAAACACTGATTTAAAGTCCTTCCTCCTCTTCAAAAACGTATTTAGTGAGAATCAAACTCAGATTCTCTTCTCACCTATTTCGACAGCTCCAACTGAGCTATATTAATTGAATTATTTTTTACTTTTTTTTCCAAGAAAATTTTACTGATATAATGAACATAAGTTAAATTGAATTTAGGAAGAAACAAAATTAAGAAATAGAGTACTCTATTTTTTGTAGAAGATAAAAAAATTTGTGCTCGAGAATCACGATTACCAGAAATATATTGAGAAAGTAAATTTATCGATAATGCAACAAAAAACCTATTTGGTAGGTCAAAATATTACTAGAAAAGTTGGCTTAAATTTCCTATTTTTATATTTGGTTGATTGTAAAGTATTACTGAAAATATAGGATGATTTTAAAAATTGCACTGCTGACACTAGTGACGCCGTCACTATGATTGTGGTGTGGTAAGAAAATATTGCTTGGCCCTAGTGGCGTGGAGGCTATAATAATTTCTCACCTCTCTGATGGCATTTTTCCTTACAAAATATTTACAAAACAAAATCATGGAAAAATCAGATTCTCTAAAAAAAAAAAAAAGTTAATAATTTTTGTACCAAATAAAATTCCTAATATCATTTGCCTGAAAATCTAAAAAAAATCTTTCTGCCAAACACCACCAACTTCAATGCTGCTTAAACAACTCTTCTGTCGCGGCGGCGCCATGAACGAGTAGAAATGTAGAATCACACAATATGCAGTGTTCCAAAATTGATTTTGAACGGAGTATTCGATTCAATATTATTAGTTTTTTAATCATATTATATAATTGATTTAATTTTAAATCTGAATTTATTGGCTTTATTTATTTTTTAATAAAAATAGACAAACTTTTAAATACCTAATAAATATAAAGAGAAATTATATTTAAAATATTTTTCCTTAGGATCACTTTTGTTATAGTTGGATAAAAATTAAATTAACAATTATAAAATAACATCAAATAAAAATTGTTGATTTAATTTTATCCAATAATAATAAAAATGGTTTAAAAAATTGTAAATAAAGAATAGTTTATAAATATAATCAACTCCTCTATCTGTGTATATATAGTTTAACTTAAATTGAATCAATGTTAAAAAATTAAAATAAAAAATAATCAAATCCAATTAAATAATTTAATTTTCATTTATTGAGTTTTTAATTATTCAGTTCAATTTTATAATTTGTATTGGATAACACCCATTCATAAATACACTTAGCCATGGTAATTAATCGAAATAATATTTTATACACGCTTAAATATAATATATAAATTATTTTATATTTATATATATTTTATCATTTAATTATCGTATTAAAAAGTGCTGATCACTTGGAAGCACACTTGACAATTAGCCACGTCAAAATCACCATTATTCACTTAAACCCTAGGATAAAAAGTAACAAAATGATAAACATAATTTAATTCATAATCATAAGTGCCTTTATATATATATATATATATATATATATATATATATATATATATATTAGATATTCCAATCGGTTCATAACTTCGCAATTAGTCTGATTCGATGCGGATTCTGAAATTAAGTCTTTAAACCACTCTAAAAAATAATACTATGAGGATCAAAAATTAAAAAAAAAACTTCAAAAATCTCCTTATAAATTTTCTCAAAATCATTTACCCCCTATCAAAAAAAATTAATCATTTATATCTTTACTTAAATTTTTTTTATCACTTATCCCTTAATTTGATTTTCCATCTAAAATTTTGTTAACAGAGTTAAATTTTTAAAAAATATATCAAAACTACCCTTAATAAAAAAAGGAAAACAAAAAAGTGTAACATGCTCAATGTATATTTATCAAATAACTAGTTTGTAATTGGGGGTATACATTTAGATTTTTGAATTTTAGTATCAGGTGTTCAAAGATGAAATGAAATAGAAGCAGAAAACTCAGAAGAAACTTTTTTATTTTTTTTATTTATTTAAGAAAATCAGATGAATTAATAAAAGGATCCTGATTTCAATCCCCAAAAACGAAAGCATTATTACAGCCTGAAATTTAACTATATGACATTACACAAACAGGATTTCACCCAGCAATGTCTGGTTCTCCATATTTATGTGTTTTTTTGATCTGGACTAGGTTCCGTGAATTTTTTACTTCTTCATTGGAGAAGGTTTTCTCACGTTAAAATTGTTTGTGTTCTCCTTCTCTCTCCCATTTTTTCGTTTTTTGATTTTCTGATCCGCTGTCCGACCTAGTGAAATTCAGGCCGAGGTATTGCCGAGATCCAAGATCAGGATATTGCTGACTGACTTCCGCAAAAGGCGGTAGAAGCCGAGTTTGAGGGAACCGAGTTCCCAACAGTGATAGATGCGTAAGAGTGGTTACACTTTTTATTTTATTTTTTTGGATGGAAAATCAAATTAAGAGGATAAGTGATAAAAAAAAATTTAAGTAGGAGGCTAAATGATTAAAAATATCAGGGAGGGAGATAAGTGATTTTGAAGAAATTTGTAGGGTTTTTTTTTGAAGTTTTTCCAAAATTAAATCATGAAAATACTCTTTGCTAATGTTATTTTTTATTCTAATCATGAAAAACACTTATATTAACACATTGTAATAATATAAAAATATTCTGCATTAATAGCTCATCAAAATTATTTTTATTATTTGATCCCAATCATGTGCACACGACGTTGCTCTTTAATGTTATCAGCCAAATGGCATAGTGATAGGAGCAGCGAAGAAGTCAGCAATAACAAATCTCAGCAAAAGAAGAAGGGAGGCCATGGAAGTGGTTAAACCTGGTAAAGGAAAGCAACTTTACATGAATTAGGACCTACACACTTCAACTCATTGGATGAATTTGGCATCCTTTTAGTCTTTAGTCTTGATAAGAAATCGATTTTGTCGTATGAACTACTTATATTTATGTCTCTTTTTATAGGCGTTCAAAATATTTTTGATGGGTACCTATTTAATGTTTATGAAAAGGGGAATAAGCATAAAATTTTAATATAATAAGATCTTGTAAAATTTTAACATAAAAAGATTTGCCCCTCTTTAAAATTAGATTTTCTTTCTTTTATTTTAGATTAAATTAGGTTTTTTAGGAATTCTTAGAACAATAATAGTCATTAGTATTTTTTTATTACGCTGTCAATCTATTAATTACTCGACTAATCCGATTTGTATTAATCATATTTCCTATAAGTTTATTAGAAATAGGGATGTGAAAAAATTTAACTAAATCGGATAAAACCAGATTATAAATAATCAATTTTTTTAATTGATTTAAAAATTGAACTACTTTTTCTAATCAGCTTAAAAAGTGATTCATCTTTACTAAATCGTTTGAACAATTTTACTTATTCACTTTTAAAGAATCAACTCATTTTATCAATGGATTTAGTTTGACGAAAAAATCTAATATACCACTGTAGTACCTACATTTCATCTATAGGAGTATAACGCATGTGCTAAAATATTTTGTGAAAAGAGAAAAAAAAAAAAAATATTATATATTTTCGACAATACATAGTTTCACTACACAGTACAGTGGTAATATTGAAAATGTTCTCCAATTTACCTAGAAAACCAAATCCAATTGAATCGTGATCATTCATATGAAACTGAAAAAGTAATATAAACACTATCACACCATGAATCGAACCATATTAATTTTTTGAATTGATTTAAGAATTAAATTATATTTTCTAAAGTGGTTCGGTTCAAAGAACCCTATCACTATACCAGTATGATTCGATTTGACATAAAAAAATCTAACCGAGTTAAATTCATGCATGAATAATTATATAGAAATTTCCTTTTTTTTTTTTATATACAAAACCAATAATAACCCATGCTAAATTAAAGTTTGTTTTTATTTTTTATTTTATTTATGGAAATGCTAAAGTCAAAAGCTA